ATAACGGCAATCATGTCTGCAGTCATAGGGGAAAAGAAAATGAGGATCCTTAGAATAAAGAAGGTGAGGTAATGAAAGTACCAAAATAAAATTGAACGAATGAGAAACGAAGAGGTTGTGGTGTGCAATGCCATGTATTCAGTTTCTTGGTATTTGCTGTAGATTTGAGGAGAATGTAGGAGGAGAGACGTGAAGCCGATATCCTTGAGTGGTTAAAGGCCTGTGTGCCTCCGAAACCGCTGTGAAAGGTGAACTCGGCACTGGAGAAGAAAAGCTGCGGCCTCGCAGGGATTAGCCACAGGAGATTCCCTGTGGATAGCTGTCCCTTTTTTCCCAGGGACACTGTAATATGATTACTCTGTTGTTTGCGCCCGGTCCAGTGGTTAAGCACTATGGAGAGGAGGGTTCGGCCACCTCCAGGATGGACAATGAGAGATTTTTTTTGGAGGGAAAGTTGGAATTCTGCTTGACTGAGGACAGCTGGGGTCTTACACTTAGAGAGGAGAGAAGGAGAAAAAAGTGGCCTTTTCTTTTGCTGAATGAAAGGCATGTATGGTGCTCTGTACCACTGCGTTCAGCAGAGGTGCACCAGGCAGGGTCAGCAGGGCTCTTTGGATCTCTACAGAGGCCCTAGGCTCCCCTCCTGCATCCCTACTGTTACACAGAGGAAAGGCATTCTCCGACAGACGTCACTGCAAATGTTTATCTTTACAAATAACAAACAGTTTTCCTCGTTGCCCTTTTGAAAAGCTCCAGGACGTGTTTGTTTGCAAAAAATAAATACTGTCGAATTTCATCACATGTGTTTCATTTCATTCCAATTAGTGAGTGAAAGCACAAAATACACTCAATCTGAGGCAGTTACTGAATGTAATAGTTTAAAAATCAGGCACTGGTCTATACTGGTTTGAGCTCTCTCATACTAGTATATGTTTAACCTCTCATTTGAGGCCTCGAATGATGGAGTGTGTGTGTGTGTTTTTTTTTTTCTTCAATCAGAGGATTGCTGTGAGCGCAAGCCTTAGTCAGCACTGTTTGTTTGACGGGCCTGTCATTAATGATCATTGGCATTGTTTAAACTGTTTTGAATGCCCAGGTCTTGTTCAACAGGAGGACAATGGTCTCTCTAAGCTGCTTCAGACCTGAAAGAAAGTTTATAAAATTTCCACCCAATGGAAACTGCAGGGAAGCTCCTTTTAAAGGGGTTAGTACTCATTAGAACACTCTGGTTAAGGGCCTGGGCCGCTCCCATAAAAGGAAGAAAACCACCCACTACCATATTGGAAAAGTGCACCTATGATGGACAGTGCACGTCATACTCATCTCATCTGACAGTTCTGAAGTAGACTTGGCACCACCTTTCCATTCATTTTAGTGACAATGCCCTGCCCCTTGCTAAATTTAATCAGTTTTACTACCAATTTTAAAAGTACAGTAATCAAGAGAAGTTTTTCTATTTAAAGCTCTTGTGATTAATGACGATACAGTGTATGAAATATTGAGGTGACCCCCCCACAGTACCTCGCAGATTCAGATCATTTGGTATTAACAGTCATTAGGATCAGATGAGCCGGTTATGAGGAAGAAAAGAAGATTGAAGATTAGGTGTGCGAGACAGAGGTCAGTAATGGAGAGTCGGATACAAGGAAAGTGGATAAACTTATGATGTGAGAGAATGACTGTAACTGAATCTGTAACTTAGATGGGGGAGAGCAGGGATAATTCTAAGTTTTTTTTTTCCCCTTAGTCATTTATAAAATGTATGAATTTATTTTGTCAATTAAATGTATGATCTAATTGAGTCAGATACATTTAAATAAGTACATGAAGACTGATGTGAGATACATAGTCTGTAACTGTAAAGGGGTATGCGATTTAAAAAAACTTATTAAAAAAACTAATGTAAATTTATATATTTTAAATATACATGTTAAATGGATAAGATCAAGGACATACAACAGCAGTTATGTCTTAAGTTGTCATCTGTGCAAAAGCATATTAGTATAGTAAAATTGAAAACCTAAAATTTACACAGAAATGTATATAAAAAGTTTTAACTCAACTTGCCCCAAACAGGTGTTTTGAAAACATTTCTGTCAACTATTGCCCCCTTAGTCATTTATAAAATGTATGAATTTATTTTGTCAATTAAATGTATGATCTAATTGAGTCAGATACATTTAAATAAGTACATGAAGACTGATGTGAGATACATAGTCTGTAACTGTAAAGGGGTATGCGATTTAAAAAAACTTATTAAAAAAAACTAATGTAAATTTATATATTTTAAATATACATGTTAAATGGATAACATCAAGGACATACAACAGCAGTTATGTCTTAAGTTGTCATCTGTGCAAAAGCATATTAGTATAGTAAAATTGAAAACCTAAAATTTACACAGAAATGTATATAAAAAGTTTTAACTCAACTTGCCCCAAACAGGTGTTTTGAAAACATTTCTGTCAACTATTGCTGAAACTTTCCAATATTCTAGGAAGAGATTTGGAGGCTTGATATGGACACTGATGTTACATTTATTGAGTGTTACAATTATCCATGCTCTCCTCTAAGTTTGCATTTCATTTTGCAAATACAAAATAGTAATCAGTGGCTGAAATGTGCATGTCCTAATACACAGAGTGCAGTCAAGAGATTGTGAGATCTGTGACATCTGAGAATGGGATTCTTGTCACTTGAAACCAGTAAAGGTTTACCAGCACAGTTCTATTGTTCGGCCTGCTGATGATACCACCTCAGTATTGATCAAGGGATCACCTTGTCATCTAACCAAACAGGTATAAGGCTGGAGGGAGAGTGAAGGCAAATATGCACTCAGTAGAGCAAACGGCTCTGTCAACATGACTATTTCAATCCATTAACAAAGATAGTGTCATCTATTCTTCTTAATGAAAAGAAAATGTATTGCTGTAAATGCACCCAAAAGTGTGAAGTTAGACATTTCTAATTAGATTCAAGATTTAAAGTACCAAAAATGTAAAATAAAATAAGTTAAAATCATAATGAAGTACCTAATAATATAATTAGGAATTACCGTGTCATAAATCCATTTAAGCCTAACTCTAAATCTGCAGCTGGCTCAGATATGATAACCTTTATGGATGAATTGGATGAATTGCATGATGGAATGGATACCTACATGATGAAATGTTTCAAAGGAATTTTTAGCCATGCACAGGGAGGGGCATTTTGTACAGGGGGAAAGCCAGCCAAGGTCAGAGGTAGGGGTCAGAGGTCATGGGGGCGGGGCCCAAATCCATAAGACACCCCCAGGATTATACAAGTGTAAAAAGAGCCTATTCAGTCAAAGCTTTGAGTGAGATTTACAAAGATCCACTGTTAGCTCAGTGGATACCTCTCAAGAGCAAAACCTCCAGGGTATGTCATTACCTACCTCAGTACATCACTAATGATGATTTATATATGTGAATATGTGCTATATAGATAAATAGGCAACAAACACGCTCTTAGTGCATTCAGAACCTTAATGATGTTATGCATCAAAATATGTATGTGTAGTTATAATAATTTCATAAATTAAATTATAAGTGTCTGCAACTGTATGTATGCATGCTGTCACACTCCCGCAGAGCCAAGGCCAATGAATTGCACATAAATGCAGCTTTCATTAAAGAGCATCATCTCACATATGTTTATAATGCATGAATGTACAAGTGTAACTTTACCAAGAGCTTACATTTTAGAGTTAGAGTTCAAAGAATCATTTTAATGTGTGCTGCTTACAAACAAATAGAGTTTATATGTATTTTTTAATAATTTACGAATGGTAATTTCGTGTTTTTGAAAGTGTCTTAGCTTGTGCTTTTGATTATGAAAAAAATCAGTGTATAATTTGGGTCTTATCAGAGTCCTCTCCAGTAAAATGTGGATTAGATGGAGATTAGGGCAGTGCCTTTGTCTTTATCCCCAAGTAAGCCAGCACAGCATGCAGCTCAAAGGCGATGGCACTCTATGATCTCCCATCTCACGCTTTACAGTGTCTAGCGCAGATTTTACACCATTTCCCTCCATTTTCAGGCTGTCATTGCACTGAAAATATAAGTGACAAATGTCGCTGACGGCAACTGTAATGGAACTTGAATTTGTATAGAAAGAGAATGTTCAGTTTGTCAACACAATTTAGTGAAAGGTAGCCTGCATGATTTATTTTAAATAATACTAATTAAGTCTAATTCTAATCAAATTAAGCATATATTATTATATTTTTCCAAGAACGGTTTGATTATAAAAATATTGAAGTGTTTACAGTTTTAAATAGATGAAACATTCACAATAAATGGACGAATAAATAAATAAAACATTTACAGTCAAACGAGTGATCTTGTCTGTATAGCCATTAATCTGTCTTTCATTTTCAAAATCTCTTTGAAATCTTATGTCTGTCATTAAGTAGGCTAATAAGTGTGAATCATTTCTCTGATGCTAAATGCACTTCTCAAAGAGGTTGAAATGCTTAAAATAGCTTGTCTTTATGTCTTTTTACACTTAGGAGCTTGAGTTAACTAGATTATGATTGTCATAAATACATTTTACGCTAATTCATTCATTTGTTTGTTTGAATAAATAGTTTAATTTTTTGTTACTATGCCAAGGAATTTGGCATAGTAACAAAAGCTCACGCTACTCACATCTAGACAAGAACTACAGAAAAAAAACATATTTACGTTTACAACCAAATATTGTAGTATATAAGCCTACAAGAATGTGTACAAATAGTGAATATTGCACTTGTAAAGGTCTAAAAAAATATGAATTTACATATCGCGCTCGTATACAGACCTTATGGAGAAGTTAGCTGGTTATTGAAGTAGTAGCAAAGGTGATGGTGCTTGAAGGTTAATGATTAAAGTCCAAACGCTCTGATAGATAGTGTCCCAGACACGCTGGCCTATATTCGACAGCCCCCTAGGTGTCTCACTTTAGCAGTGTTTGTCAGGACTCCGGCGAGGATGTGCGCTGACGTCACCGCCGTGTTGATTTGCTAAGCCGCGAGCGGAGAGGAGTTAGTGAGCGCGAGAGAGAGCGGGTACTGTGAACTGCGTTACTATGCTACAGTCCTAATAACCGCGCGCTCGGAAGCCAAACGTGCAAGACAGGTGAGTACAGGCGCGCACCTTTAAAACACCCACGGCTCCTGACAGACCCATCTGTCTGCGTGTTTTCAGTTTGGGAAGTGTTCACATTAAGAGATGATCCGCGTTGTGTTGACCAGATGTGTTTGCGCTCAGCATCACATCAAGTTACAGTGTGTCTACTGTTGCTTCAAGTGAAGGTGAATTGTGAGAGCGCACCGAAAAAGTGCAAGTGTGGCGCAGGCTCAGGGCACCTGATAGATATGGCTGTTTATGTTCATCTTTACACATGTGGAGATGTTATGTTGACGTAAGCGTGCGTTTTAGTATTCGGGGGACGTGAGGTCTGCTCGCGCACCAGACAGTGACTTGCCTCCATGTGCTTTATTCTCAGCGTGAATGTTTCGAATTGAACGTTCATCCGAGAGTTTAAATATGTCCTAACTGAAGAAGTGTGTCGTAGAACAAACAAATGTCGGGGTGTTAATAATTGTTGTTATTTTGGTTGACAGTAGGTGTGCTCATTAAATCAGGGCCACCGTGGAGGTGCGTGTCACTGTCTTTCAAAATGAACCGCACTGAATTGGTTGTGATTTTTAAAGTGCTTTCATTTTTTGTTAGTTTTATAACAATACTGAAATAGATTAATTTAACCGAAACGCTGTTTGCTTGTTCCTCCGATGTGTATGCGTATGTAACGTTAATGAAATAACAAACGGGTCCTTTAACTTCAATTGATTCACGTGTGAACAGTCAAATAATCATGTATTGATCATTCAAATGAGCTCTGACCGGACTTTTCATTGGTCTTTTTAACATGTATGAGGTAGATAACGGTTATCACAGCTGTAGTTGACTAATAATACGACTATGTGTTGATCGTTTTTTGACTTTTGTTTGAGTTGTTGTTGTGATGCACAGTTCGCGTGCGTGAACTGGCGTCGTTATTGCTAACGTCTCCTCAGTTAACTGCAATTCAAAGACAATGTATTCATTTCTCACTCATTACTCGCCTTCCTGTACTCTGTAGTAATTTAAACGGCGTGAAACCCCTCGTATGTATTTCTCTAGTGTCGCCATTTATCATAACTTCAGCTTATTTGCTGTCTGAGACGGTAGATTCACAGTGAAAAGCCCGTCATTCACTGCTGAGATCATAGTGTTTGATATAAAGATTATTTACTAGTCTGCTCTTCTCGGGTGAGGCTTCTTTTTGATTAAATAAGACGGGGGAAATATTAAATATCTGAGTAAATCTTCCGTTCCTTGTCTACTATTTAAAATGTGTGTGATAATGCTATAAACGGCATGGCTTCCTCTCGCTGCTATTATCATATATATTAGTGGTGGATCTTCCTCTGATTGTGTTCACTCAAATGTGACGGTAATGTTTTTGTTGTAAGATAGTTATGTTGTTGTACAAAGCCGATTTTAAACGTTAAATTATAGCTAAAATTTATTTTTATTGAGTAATACATTGTGATGGTGGTGAAGTTAATGAAAAATGCCCGAACATTTGTCCTTTTTTATGGTGACAAATTACACGTTTTTTTTTAAGATTACCTTGTGAGTTAATGTTTTTTTTTATAGTATATATATCTGATATAGCAGAAAAAATGACATCTATATATAATTCACTAATGATACATGGAAATGTATTTTAAATAAAAATTGCATTTTGGTGTGTTTTAGGAGCTCTGAGCTGTTTTGTGTCATCCTCTGTTCCAACTATTCCTGGCAACAGCTTGCCTCACTCTCCATGCTCCGCTCAGTATCCCTGTCTGTGATGGGAATACTGAATAAGATGCCATTTCATTTCAGGAGGCTGTTGATGGGCTTTGTGAGGCGAGCTCGAACACACAGAAACAAAGGCTTGATTACTGCCAGCCTTTACTAGCACTAAAGCCAAGTTTACGTGTTTCTCATGTGTGCCACTTGTCGTTTTATTTTGTGCATTTTGACAGATTTTTCATCTCTTGCTAAAATGTTTTTGGCTGTTAAATGCTATTTGTGATTGATATTGACATATTTGTGTTTTTATACTGGACAGATTACATCTGAAGTCTAATGTACTTTATAACATCTTTATTTTTTTATACTGAAATAATTAGAATGATGGCTGTTAATTTAAGAACAAATCAAATAAACTAACAAACAGAAAATCAAACATTGTGACTTTGCTACATCTAACTGTGGGTCTTTCTCTTTCTTCTCTTTCTAGATTGACCTTATCTTGTTTACAAAGATAACTGAACAGACTGCTACGTGGAAAGAGAGACTCATGAGTTGGCCGTGTGGATTTCAGAGACGTTATGGATTTAACTAAAATGGGTATGATCCAGCTCCAAAACCCCAATCACCCCAATGCCCTGCTGCACAAGGCTAATCAGATGCGCCTGGCCGGCACGCTGTGCGACGTGGTCATCATGGTGGACAGCCAGGAGTTCCACGCTCACCGGACCGTGCTGGCCTGTGCCAGTAAGATGTTCGAGATCCTCTTTCACCGGAACAGCCAACATTACACTCTCGACTTTCTCTCACCAAAGACCTTCCAGCAAATTCTGGAGTATGCCTACACTGCCACGCTCCAAGCTAAAGTGGAGGATCTGGATGACCTGCTGTACGCAGCAGAGATCTTAGAAATAGAGTACTTGGAGGAGCAATGCCTGAAGATACTGGAGACCATCCAGTCCTCTGATGAAAACGACACTGAGGTCAACATGAATGACGGAGGCGCAGAAGACGATGAGGAGCGCAAGGGACGGCATGGGAGAAACCCGAAAAAGCATTCCGTGGAGGAGGGCAGCTACGTGTTAGCTGCCCAGCAAGCACTGATGCTGCCAGGAATGTTGGATCAGAGTCCTTCTGTCTCCACCTCCTTTGGCCTCTCCACCATGAGCCCAACCAAAGCAGCCGTGGACAGCCTGATGAGCATTGGCCAGTCCCTCCTGCAGAGCACCATGTACCCTGGTGCGGTTGCTGGTCAGCCCCTGCAAGGCAACTCCCACCCCATGATGGGAGAGATCAAAACGGAGATGATGCAAGTAGATGAGAGCGGAGAGCATGAGAGCCCTAAAGCCATGGAATCCAGCGCCTCCAGCAACGGTGAACGCAGTGGAGAACCTGACAAGAACCGTGATGGGCCCGGCACCCCTACCAGGAGCAGCGTGATCACTAGTGCCCGTGAACTGCACTACGTCAGGGAGGAAGGTGTGGGTGACCAGCAGCCCGAGGTCAGCCAGATGGGGCTGGAGGCCATGGCGGGGATGACCGAAAAACACTTGGCGTCGCTCTATGGCATTCCCCCCAATCACAAGAACGAAGCAATGCTCTCTATGCCCGCCTCCATGGCCTCATCCTTGCACATGTCCCCAGCATTGGCCATGTCCATGGACTTCAGTGCCTACGGGGGCTTGCTGCCACAGAGTTTCATCCAGAGGGAGTTCTTCAACAAGCTTGGCGAATTAGCTGCTGGGATGAAGCCCGACGGCCGCAGCCCGAACGAGCGCTGCAACGTGTGCGGCGCCGAACTACCTGACAATGAGGCCGTAGAGCAACACAGGTACGCTTTTGTTCTTGTTTTTTGGTTGCCATAAATGTGTGTTCGCCGCAAGTGTTTTATTTATTTATTTTTTGCTTCTCCTGGTGCAAAGGCAGGTCCTTAATTCAATTAGTTTACTGCGCTCTGTGTAACAAAGGACCACAAGGTGCCCATTTTTTGGAACTTGGTTGCAGAGAAATGTTAGTTGAAGATGAGTCGTGATGGTTAACTGTTGATTGCTTATCTTATTTCATGCTGGAGGTCAATTTGCTTAACACTCTGCCTGTGGTGGATATGAGAGAGAATGATTGCAGAGCATGATTTACGCACATATGTTTTTCTCATGCTTTCCCCTTATCAAGAAAAATTGCTCTTCAGTTGAAATAACTTTTGAAAGGAGTAAGGAAAAATAGGTCAATCAAGTTGCAATACAAGTATAGCTGTTTGAAACAGAATACATTCAATAAACAGAAAATGCTGTAGAAATTAAATGCCAATTTGCCAGTAGTTGTTTATAATTTATAATAAAAACATTGTTTTAGCTGTTATTTTTATAAAGAAAAAACAGGTCAAAATAAGTTTTTGCCATCAATACTTAAATATGTGCATAAATTATTTTGCTTACTGTAAGATGTTCAATTCAGATATATTGCTGCAATTGCACACAACAAGATGAGGCATTCCCAGGCTAGTGAAGAAAAATTATTATTTTTAACTTAGTTCCTTAAAGTGGGCCGTCTGTTTGTCGCGGCTCACAGGCGTTGGGTGCTGATCACTTCCAGGCCTGCGCTGGTGGCTGCCAAGTGGTCCTGGAGAGGCTCTGGCTGAGCCCATTAGCTGCACCTGGAGAGGGGGCAGGCTAATGGGAAGCAGCCCCCCTGACCCCCATGGTGTGGCCAGTGATGAGTAGGCCAGCCACCCGGGACAAGGAGGGCCAACCGTTCTCTGTGTCAGCTGATTTGATAGTGTGGTGTTTAACTCTAAAGCCTTATGGTAATTAAGAATGATTGCAATTAAGCCAACGAGACTTTAAACAAGTGGACCTTTCACTTTGTCAAGTTAGCCAATTAAGTTTTTGAAACTCTTCATGGCTGCTCTGAAAATGGGAATAATGCTGGCTAAAAAACTTTGGGACAAGAAATTTTGTCTTGTGAAATTTAGGTTTCTCATGTCTAGTTGTCTAAACATCTGAAATGCCTATTGTATGGTTGAGATGGGTTTTGTTAGTGTTTTGAGGATGAAATTGAGTCATTGCCTAATTAAAGCTACTCTCTTTCTCAAGATATTCTGTGGCAAGGAAGACCGCGTAGAAAGAGGAAATCATAATTTATCAACCAAGTAGTGTGAATACACAGGTCTTAAAAGCCTATTTTAATTTATAGTTGCATAATATTATAATAGAATATGCCATGACAAACTTATATTTTAGATTTAGCTATAATAAAACCAGATATATTTAATGCCTTTAAAATGTGTATTATTTGTATTTTCAGTGCTTTTTCTTTCAGACGCTAGTATTTGTCCATTCAGCCCACATACGCCAGCTGCTGGCAGGCGCCCAATTATAGACAGGCTTTAAAAGCCCCGCTTGAACTGTAAAGATTTACACCGCCACCCCTCTGATCTGGAATCTGCCTTCTGTCCTCACTGTCAGGACAAGAGATGTATCGATTAAAGACTTAACACTAGGTTGCATCATATGTATTGGACTTGCACACCTTGACTGCAGCTCTGTATCTTCAGAGCCTCGCTGACGAAAACAAGTTTGTTGATTCGTGTATCAGAGCAGTCCATCAGGTGGATTTCACCACCTAACTCTTATTTGATTCGCTTCTGTCTACTCATATCTGAGGCATCACCTACAGAGGGCTCGGGTTCGGCACTCACATGTAGAAAATAAGAGACTTTTTGATTCGCGTGTGAATAAGGAATAAAAGTAAACACAGACAGGCAGACGGCGCCTGTCTGTATTATTATTATTATTATTATTATATTATTCTGTATTATATAATATTATTAAAGCGATAGGGATCTGGCATGCCCTGTAAAAAGACATGACTGTTGCTCACAGGGCTTTTTTCACTGAGGTGCTTTTCACTGGCCGCTTTCTTATCTGTTTTCTGCAACTGGAGATGGAAGGATTACAGACAGAGCAGGGTGCTGCAAGCCCACTGTGGTGCCAGGTGGCACACTAACCATCTGCGAATATATCTGAAGCCATTCTGCTCCGCCACACATGTAGATGCACGTATATGTGCATCAAAATCAGATTTAAACAGTGGCCGTGGCGATGTAGATGAAGAGAAAGCAGGCTGGTTGAGATAAGACGCTGGTGTTTCATGTGGCCCTATTCTGGTCCTTTCTCACTTGTGTGACTGGTCAGAAATCAGATTCACTGCTGGTCTGAATCAGTTCATTTGGCTGAATTTGATGGGATAAATATATAGTTGCTGTAATGCCACTTTCCAGAAAATGAAAGATTTTATTGGTTTCAGAGTTGCCTTGTAACTTCTGATTCTTTTCATTTGCTCTATAAAATGATCTTTGTCATTTAATAACTATTTGACCTTTTAGATTTGTATTCACTTTGTTTGTCTTAAATGGAAAGTTCACCCAAAAATGAAAAATCTGTTTGCTTACCAACATTCTTCAAAATATCTTCTATCGTGCTCAACAGAAGAAAGAAACTTATACAGGTTTGGAACAAATTGAGGGTGAGTAAATGATGACAGAATTTTCATTTTTTAGTGAACTATCCTTTTAATAGTATTTTAAATATCTTAAGTAAAATATACATAAATATATTACACTTCTTGTATCCTCAAAGAAAAGTCATCAACCAATTTTATTTCAGCCACGTTAATATATCACAGGTTCCTCTTTTCAGTAAGTACAGTGTTTTAATCCCATCAATATCCCATTAGCATCTGGTTTCTGGCTCCCGCTACATGAAAGAAGACGTGTCGGTTCCCCCTCACTAGTTCTAAGGCTCTGCCGAGCTTTGCGTACAATAAAGGTCTGGAGCAAAGGGCCAAGCCAAGCGTGCACGAGGGCTGTGTGAATGCACTGCTGGGGCTCTGGAATCCCCTGGAAGTATCAAATCAGAACCTTCCTCGGGCTTCCACCGAGAGGGGCTCTAATTAGCTCCTTTGTTGCCTGTTGAATGGGGTGCCAGAGATTGGCAAGGGGCCCCTGATAGAGTGATACAAGTGTGCTACGGAGGGGGTCATAAAATACCCATCACATTAGATCTGTGTGATGTCGGACCAGGTAGGAAGCGGCCAAACTGCATGTTGGAGGATTTGTTTATGGGAAAAACCTTTGCTTGAAATGCCAAGCACGGTAGTTATAAGTTGCTTAACTGCTCAAAGATAAATCAATAAAGATGGTTAAAATGATAATGCTAATTAAGTCTTTTTTGCAAAGAATTTACATTTTATTTTCATGCACTGTAAAAAATTCCACCTATTGCAACTTAACCTCAGTTGTTGCCTTAAATTTTAAGAATAATCAAATTGGCTGTACAAGTTATTTCAACTCATTTTATTTTTTTAAATCTTGTATAATTTAAATTAAGTTTAAGTTATTTTAAGGAGTGAAAGTAATGGAAAAGCTTTTTTTTTTTCTACTGTGTGCTGATTTTTTTTTATTGTTGATGTTGTTGGTGATAGTATTAGTTGTAGTATTTTATATATGTAGGCCTATACATATTTAAAATAATAATAAATTCTAATATTATAATATTTATTTATCTATTTATTCTTTAATATTTTTGTTATATTTTATTTGCATATGGATTCCTGTTGAAATAACTGGATATTCTGGATTTTCATCTGAACAACGGTAAATGTGACCACACCTTAAGACAATGTTTTTTTGCCCCAATACACCACATAAAAATGCTATTATTTAGTGAATGTATTTCATATTATTTAGTGCCATCGCCCCCATCTCTTTTCTTACACTCTCTGACCTCCTCTCTTTCTCCCCCTTCTGTGAGGGGTGGAAATTGAGTTAGTTGAGACATGGCCTAAAGAGGCCTTCCTCTCTTTCTCCTCTATTATCTCCTGCTGGAGGCATTTGAGAGATATGGTATGGCAACTCTGAGCGAATGCAGAAAGCCAACCGACACGTTTTAAACCATGTTGTAATCCAGGGGGATCAGTTGGATAAATGGTAGAATAAAGCTAAAACTATAATTGATTTATGTATTTGCTGACTGAAGACGCCTGCAGTGATCACTAGCAGGACAGAATGAATGATTAATGGCTTGGCCTTAAGAGAGCTTGTTTGAGGGACAGGCCGTGCCCTGCACTTACATTACCAAATACATCTGAGCTCTAATTCAATAGAAGAGAGATTATTTCACTAAGCACACTACCTTCATTTATCCCCAGATTGAGTGATGGCCATCAGTAAATTGCCATTGTTTGGCATACATCGTGGCCGTTGGGCTTTCTGAGTCACATGTGAGACTGAAAACATTTTATAAAACTAAAATGGCCCAGTAATGTTTTAATTACCTCAATGTCTGTTTCTCATGCTACAAACAGCCAATGTTGTCAGTGACACGCACTTCATCTCTCTTTCAGTCTGCTCGAGACAGACATGAAACTGAAATGTTTTTTTTTTTTTGCAGATGAATTTATATAGTTTTCTACCCTGTTTCTCTCAGACTATTTTTGACCTGTCACCAAAATTGCACTTGAGTTTCATTGGCATGTTACACTGAGAGCTTTCTCTCCCTTTAGTTCAGGCTGAAGTGTTTTTGTGTTCCCTCACTGTCTGGGAGTCCAAAAGCCATTCCATTTACTGGACTGATCACAAGGGCTGCCCACTGTGACACGTCATGACTCACACGGCATCATTTCTGCTGTTTGTGTCCGTGGCAGAAGGAAACTGATGATGCTGTCAGGATGTGCTGTACACCATTAAGCATAGAGAAGAACGGAGGCTCTCTGCTTCTCCCCTACATGAGCCACCACTGTCTCACCCAGCAATTTTACACCCCGTGCTCTTTG